AAAAAAAAAAAAAAAAAAAAAAAAAAAAGAACTGCAGATCTAAGCCCTAGAACTAAAAACTCTGACTTACTCAAGTGGCTAGTCAGATCTAGCGAGGAGACAAGTTTCAACTCATATTTGAGCTCCCCAGTCTTCAATCCGAAGGGAATCGGACGCCTTGGGAGTTGACCCGACAAGCCTCGCCTTAGGAGTCGACGCCTTCACCAATTGAGGGTCGAGCCTGACCCCAATCTAACGAACGGAAGGCACGGGGGACACAATCGGCTCGGCCCGAGGCTGGAAGCCGACAGTTGCAAGACGGTTTTCGACGGAAGGGAAATTGGGGAAGAGACTCTCAAGCATTTATTCTTTAATACATCCCTCCATATTTAATTTTTAAATGTGTTGAACCTCGTATGTTTTGACATCCTATGTTTCAAATGTTCATGTTTTGTTATTTAGCTTGGATGGATTTACTTTACTTCCAATTCAAAAATAAAGTGTGGAATGATCATAAATATACCATATATCTATAGTCTTTTTTCAAAACACTAGTTATGTTACATTTCCTATTCTAGATGTAATTTATAAGACATGCATAAAATTTTTATCATTTACTTTCATCTAAAAGCCAACACATTCCACTAGAAAAACATTTAAAATCGTGTTACACCAAGCTTACAGAAGTAAGAAAGAATAAGATGGAAGGATCAAAACACATAGTTATTTTGATATAAAAACCTTGATAAAAAATGTTAATGAACAAAACTGATACTAACGAACTTCCACAGTTATCCTCATGCTCTTGCCCAATTCTTATTCTTGCTTGAAGCCTACCAAAAATTTGCATCCGTCGACGTGATTACTGACCAGTGACTAGTAAGCACACTCATCAGCCACAAGAGGTGGGATGAATGAATAACCCTGAAGAGTTTGCTCGAAGATGTGACCTATTTTTAGCAACTTCTCCTGCAGTAGAATTTAGGAATACAACTCATCGAAGGACACGAGCAATGGTGAATCAAGTCCAGATAAATTGATATAATCGTATTCTAACTTTATCCATCAACAATTGTATTCTAACTTTCTCCAAACTATTGCATATTTAATACCGTGCTTTTGTATTACAGTGGTTTCGATTTGTAAAAGATGAAGCCTGAGTTTGCAAACTTTTGGTATTATAAATTCGCCTACCTCGTCAAATGCTGTTCCTATCAATTGGAGTCCTACGGGCAGACCAGCAGACCCCACTTCAGCAAGTCCACATGGTAAAACCAGTGCCGGAAGACCCGCCAAGTTCACGTTAACCTGCATAAAAAATATATAAAGTCACGGTCTCAAAGAACCAGTAAATAAAAATTACACAACAGTCAAAAGAAAGGTACACAGAGACTCACTGTCATTATGTCTCCGGCATACATGGACAATGGATCATTTTTCTTCTCACCTTGTGATATTACCACTCACATTGGGATCAGTATGAACGATCTCAACAAACATGATAAATGTTGGAAAGAGCACATACGACAATATCAGAGACAAAAAAGTGAAAATGTTTAAATGAAGTACCAATCTTATAAGCAACAGAGGGAGCAGCAGGAGATATTAAGATATCATTTTTGTCCAAAGCATCCTTGAAGCTTTTTCGAATTATAGTTCTGACCTGAAATAACATAAAGCATCATTATCCATACGTCAGAAAAACAACCGAAACCACCACCATTGGAATTCGGAACACAAAACAAGAAATTACTTCCCAAGTCCAAAGTTGATCAGTTTCATCCCACAACCAAAAAAAAAAAAAAAAAAAAAAAAAAAAAAAAAAAAAAACAATATCATAAGTTTTAGATGGATTAATACATAACTGGTGCAAATATAATGAGTGGATTTGTTGCAATAATGGATAATACAAATCAGAGGAACCATTGTGAAACCTGCTGGGCACGCTTGTAATATGCATCGTAATAACCAGCTGAAAGAGCATAAGTGCCCATTAGAATTCTCATCTTAACCTGTAATAACAAAAAAATTGTTGCTAATTACTGGGAAGTTCTCTTCAGCCACAAAAAAGAGGTGGAGAAAAACAATGCTCCCTATAATCAACTTAAGTTTGAAAAACCAGAGAATACTGAAAAAAATATATATTTTTTCATTAAAGGTTCTAGAAAACCACACCTCAGGACCAAACCCTTGGGCACGGGAATCCCCATAAAGAGAAATAAGCTCATCACCGAAAATTTGTTTTCCATATCTGCACAAAGAAATACATGGCTATAAGTTTAAATGTACATCTATTTATGTTTCCAGGGGAAGAAAAATAAAAGATTTTTCACTGAAGTTGAACTACTTGAACATTTTACACATGCGACTTAAAAAACCCACAATGAAATGAACATCAAAACATCCTCACAATGACTTTATCGATGTGTATATATTATATATGCACACGCAAATAAATTATAAATTTTACGCATTAAAATAAACCATAAGTAGAAATTAGAAAATAACCTGACACCATCATAGCGAGACAAATTCGACGAGGACTCAGATGACGCAAGGATGTAATATGCTGGCAATCCAAGAGAATATGATGGCAGTGAGACCTGGTTAACCAAAACGAATGTGCTATAGAAACTGACATGATACTTATGTGTAAAAACACTAGGTAATATTAAATGACTAAATGCAAAAAAGATACCTCTGAAACAGTGCATCCAAGTTCTTCCAAATGAGAAACAGCATCACGAAATGTGGATATTACTTCTGAATCAACTCCATCATCACAGGTTTCCCGAATAACACCAACTCTCAGTCCTTTCAAGGGTTTAGATTCCAAATAATCTATTCCAACAAAGTTGGATGCATAGTCTGGGACTTCCTGAAAAGTTCAACTTACAACAAGATTATAACCAGTTCCTAACACATGTATTTTCTTTACAGCAAGTTTAATGATATGTAAAGTCAAGCCTTATGATTATAAACTTGGCCAGGGGTTTCTTTTGATTTTCTCGTATGTAAGAGTCTGGGGCAAGCAATAAATGCTCATCTTACACAATCACAGCCTGTAAGAATTTTCTGACACCATTACTTAGAATGCTAGTCGCTAAATTATTCATTATAATGGATTGAAGCATACTCCTGCTGGCAAATAACTAAATCCTGAAACTATAAAAAAGAACACCAAAACCAAACACTGAAAGTAGAACTTAAACAAAATGAAAATAAAACTATAAAAAAGAGAAACAGAAAAGTAAGAAAATCCGTAAGGACTAACAATATCATAAAATGTTGAGAAAGCCAACGAAAAACTAAAAGAGGTGACAAGCTGGGAAAAAAAGGAAAGAAAAGAACCGAAGCATGGGCTCTGACACAAGTCTGTGCCAATTGGAATTGATTATAGCAGCAAGGTCAAATGACTTACTCTATTGCTACTTGTTGCATCAAACTTGTCATGCCCCGAGATTGTTTGGAGGAGAATTCCCGCATCAGCAACTGATGAACCAAAGCATCCAATAACATCCAAAGAAGATGCATAAGCCACAAGCCCATATCTTGACACACGTCCGTATGTTGGTTTCAGACCAACAACGCCACAGAAAGATGCTGGTTGCCTGACACTTCCACCAGTATCACTGCCCAATGCAGCCATGCATTGTCTAGCACTAACAGCTGAAGCTGATCCACCAGATGACCCTCCTGGCACCCTCGACAAATCCCATGGATTAGCCGTCACCTAATGAATATGAAGATGTGTCACCTGAGTAAACCATATTTGGTTACAGATTGTAATTTGGCTACTTTCTATTCGCCTTTAAACTTACTTAAAGCACTGAACTATCGTCTTACGTTCGGCAACATAACACTTGTGTACTATGTAACTAAAGAGTATTGATTCCAACAAGCATGTGGTATTGCTGTCAATTAATCCTCCTAACACAACACGCCTAAAAATGGCAACTTCCTCTCAACCAAAACTAAGGAAGAACATCATTTTGAAAGACACATTTCTGAAAATTACTCCGTGATAGCATCAACTCAATGCAGGAATTTCTACATATATAATCTCACTTCATGAAAACCGAAGTAAGTAACTTGATGACAGTTAAAGTTCCTTTTTTTTTCTAAGAAGAATAAAAATAACTAACTTGATAAGCAGATCCTTCTGTTGTGCTCCCCATACCAAACTCATCCAAATTGGTCTTCCCAACAATGATGGCTCCACCATCCCTCAGCTTCGCCACCACTGTAGCATCATAGGGCGGGCGATAATTTTCCAAGAGTCTCGACCCGGCAGTCGAAGGCATATCGTGAGTGCAGATGTTATCCTTAACTCCAATCAGAACCCCGGCAAGCGGGCCCACCTCCTCATTGTTCCTAATCTTGTTATCCAGCGCCTCAGCTTGCTTTAAAACCGCTTCATCGGAGGACACGTGGATAAAGCTGCCGAGTTGGGGCTCGTGGCGGCGGAGGCGGTGGAGAAAGGACTTGGCGAGGTCCACGGCTGAGGTCTGGCGTGAGAGTAGGGATTTTCGGGTGGTGAGTATTTGGGAGGGAGGCTGCGGGGCAGCGGCGGCAGCGGAGCTGGCGATGACGGAGGAGTGTAAGGATTTGAGGGTGGTGGTGGTGGTGGTACGGGAAGAAAGTCGGAGGCGCGGGGTCTGGGCTGAAGATAGCATTTTCCGGTGGACTCACAAGAGTGAAAATGTTGAAAATGGATTTCCTAGAGATGGAAGGGGATTGGATACATTTATTTTTTATTTCATATTTTTTCTAAAAAATTATCTTTTGAAATAAATAATTTTTATTATTTTAAAAAATATAATTTTTATTTAAAAAAAAAAAAAGATGTTTATTGGTATTGTAAAATATATATATTTATTTTATTATCGGTATACTAATAAATTTATAATTTTAACATGTAGAATATCTACAATGTACATATTTAAAATTATATCAACAATTTTTTTAAGATCGTATTGAAAACTAACGAATGAAATAAATGATTTAAAAATATAAATTTATCGAAACATAATTTTAGTGAAAAGTTTTGCAGTATTTTCAATTCCTATAATCCAAGTCCGGAAGATTCTACAGTCCCGTTACGGAACCATCGTCGGAGTTTGTAACCGTTATATCAACTATCCACCACGGTTACACGATGATCTAACTATAACAAATCCCAAGAAAAATGGTTTCGTAACAAGATTGTAGCATTTCTGCCAAGTCTGTTGTTGTCATCGGATAGATTTACACCCGCGGCAATTGGAGGAATGGCAAGGAAAACAAGAAGCGTCGCATGTTCCAAAAGAACTAGCTACTTCTGAAATAAACGTGAGAGTCTGTACTCATAACCACTCTCAAGAATCTTGAATGGTTTGCTATTGCCTATTAGTAAACTTGTTCTGAATAATATGATGATAATTCCTGGAGTATTTTTTAAGTACAAGACATGATAAGCAGACAAATCAAAGTACAAATCCATCGACTTAAAAACGCTAATTGTACTATTACTTGGCCTCTCCATTGATTCATAAGTCAGCGGAAAAAGGCCAGCCATTTTTTATACAACAACCAGATGACGAGCTAGACGAGCTATGTCTGTATAGTGCTTCGACTCCATTTAGGACAAGAAGCCGACATCGTGAAAAAATCAAAGCAAGCACTCCTAATCGCATCCCAAACAATTACTAATACCTCTTAAGCAAAGCAGTCAGATACTGAGACATGCTACACTGCATCCAAAGCTCACTCTTCTCAACATCCTCAACAGACTCACACTCATTTTCACTCTCACTATCACTGCTACTCGGGACACATCCTCCTGTC